GGCACCGCCCGCCCCGCACTGAAGCCGCCGCGGCCGCCATGTTGGTTGTGGGCACTGAGCCACCTCTCCCACCCGAAGCAATGACTCGCAGCTCCGAGCGTTGTCCTGCTGCGTGAAGCCCGAGTGGGGCCATGTCTAATGTGGTCACGGTCCAGGCCCGGAGGAGAAGGCTAGAATCCTGCAGAGTGACTGACTCTGTGAATGAGTCTCTGTCTTTGCTGGTGTGATGGCGAAGGCGGTGGGAACTTGCAGATATCAAGATGCCCCTTCTTACTAGACCCCGAAAGAGATGGTGGGCAGGACCCTGACTGGTACTGGGCAAGTCAGCCCCGCCCAGCTCCCGAGGAACGTTGCAGGTTTTGACCGCCCGCCGGTACCAGCCTAGACTCCGTCACACACTCTAGCACGTCAGGGTGGGATTGTCTTTGCGGCGGCACGCAAGGCACTGAGGCCACCGTAGGATCCCAGCAAGACAGTGTTACTAGAAATACTTTCCTTTCTAACTAGACTGCAAAATCTCTGAGTTCACCCATCATTCATTCATTCAACAAACAGTTACTGCGTACCCAGTATGTAGCAAGCACGGTGCTAGGCGCTGGAAATACAAGGAATGAAACTATCAACATTTCTGCCCACCTTCCTGCCGCTTACACTGCTAGTGGATGCTAATGATAGCTGCTATATTCCAAAAATTGTGTTAAGCATGTATTTTCTTTCTTAATCCTTAATTCAGTCTCCTCGAGGTTAAAAAAAAAAAAAAAAAAAAGCCAAACCACTGCCATCAACTTAACCTCTAAGCTTAGACCCACAAACGTCCCAGGGACCAAAATGGTCCCATCAGTGAATGAAGAATCCTGGTGTTCTCGGTCATCATATTAGTCCGTTAATACTTTAAGCAATTACCTGTCAGTGTTGGGGATACTGTGAGGAATGGTGGGGACTACAGCAAACTGCAAATCAATGTGCTTCTAAAAGGAGTGGATGACACTCGACTCCAGCCATCTGAAAATGAGGGCACAGCGTAGCCTGATCATGTGATTTTTCAAAAGAAGGTGGAAATACTATTTTTAAATGTTGGTTCAATTATAAAAGAAAGAAAAAAATCATGCAAGGGATAAAAAAAAAGTACATCTGTAGGCTACCTCCAGCCCAAAAAAACGTGGGTTTGTGACCTCTGTAGGTCCCCCATGTTTCTAACAGGATAAGCCCGAGTTCTGGTTATTGCAGAAGTCAGGCAAGCGATGGTCTTTCCCTTTTCAAAACATGAAACCCACCTTACACTCATTTCATAAATGGCTTTTGCCTCTTTCTTCCCATCCCAGAGTAATCAGGGCCCTTTTGGTGACACCCCACCCCCACGGTGTGCTGCACCTCCACTCCAACCTCCTAGCCAAAATATGTATGCCTCACTGCACCTTGAGCTCATCTGGAAATCAGAGAGAAAGTCATCTGATAATTCATACTAAAGTGTGAATGCAATGGCCTCAACCTTTGCAGGCATGTTTGCATTTTTCCAATACGGTGATTGTGGGACCAGGAGGGAAGAAACAAATGAAAAGCTTTGGTTAGAGTTTTTAGGGAGTTTGACAACAGTTTATTACAATATCCAGCCAGTGTGTGAGAAGTTTGTTTGCCTTTAGGAGGTCAGAGGGACCTTGGAGCTATGGTCTCCCCCTGATGTCAAGCAGAATTTGTCAGACCCCAAGGTTAGCTTCCCTAAGCTGCTTCTATTTTTATTCCTTTATTATTTTTTTTTTTTTTTTGTACTCCTCCATTCTGGACTCACATGTTCATAGCACCCATCACAGCTGCTCAGAATCTTCTCTGAAAGGCTCCTAGGGCAGGGACTGGACCTCTTCTGCTGACCACTGCAGCCCAGCACTGACCACAGTTCTAATAAATGGTTAGTTGAACAAATGCATCTGTTTTAGAAGGAATTTGAGCATAGCAAAAGCTTTTCATCCTTGTGGCTTGTGCTTTGAGCCCACCTCTACTTTCCGCCACAGCTGGATAGACAGTGAGTGCCATGTACTGGGACAGCCCCTCACATCAAGTACCTGCTGTTTGTCTCTGCTTTTCTGCCTGAGGGTTTGTTCCAAAGTCAGGAATGGAGTGAGTTAACTACACACACACACACACACACTCACACACATGCACCAGAGCAACCCTCAACCGGTGGGAAATAAGAGAGAAGAGCCAGTAGGTAACTGTGCCAGCCCCCCATCCTTTGGATGGGCGTCTCTGTGGTGCCTCCAACACAGTTCATCAGAGAGAGTCTGCAGCAGGATGGAGCCACAGTCGCCCTCAGTGATGATCAGCTCAAGGATGCACCCTATTCCGATTTCCCCGCCTCCCGGTCACACTCTTCCTACTCCCACACTGTTTCTGGGGATCATTTCCCAAATAGTCTACCTGCACCAATCCATTCAGAATCAGGTTGCTGTCATGAACCTCCAAGAACTTAGGGCTGAGCCCATCACCAGACATGACTCCCTGGATTTTACTACCAACGGACAGGGTCAGCTGGGATTCACCACACCGCTTTGAACACTGCCCGTCCCCTGACCTGATACTACCTTAGTTGTATCTAAGAGCATGTAGCTGATCCAATACAAAAATGGTATATTGTTGTCATTATTTGTTGACATGTCTCAAACTCTGGTTTAAAGGAAAGCCAGATTAACATAAAAGTTTAATTGGGGCTGGAATTTCTAAACCAAGACAGATCTGGAGTTAGGTGTGCTCTGAGCAACCCCTGTCCTTCTCCACCAGTAGGTCTATCCCCATGACTGTCCCCCCCAGCTGCTACACAGAGCGTCATTCCTTCCTTCTCTGGCATGCGTGCCTGACATACAGTTGTTGTTGTT